AACTATGGAATACACCAACCACTCCGACTAGGAACGAACTGCCTTTGAACATAAATTGTCCAATTTCTTACAACTATTCATTTCGGATCGAGCCCAAAATTTGGGCAACATCATGATATGGTGGGAGGAGTCATTTGGTTATGTTTGAGTGAAATCCAATCTCTACAACTACACAAAACACCTACTACACCAATTAGGAACGAACTGCCTTTGAACTTGAATTGTCCAATTTCTTACACCTATTGATTTCGAATCGAGCCCAAAACTTGGGCAACATCATAATATGGTGGGAGGAGTCATCCGGTTAATTTTGAGTGAAATCCGATCTCTAGAACTATGGAATACACCAACCACTCCGATTAGGAACGAATTGCCTTTGAACATAAACTGTCTAATTTCTTACAACTATTGATTTCGGATCGAGCCCAAAACTTGGGCAACATCATAATATGGTGGGAGGAGTCATCCGGTTAATTTTGAGTGAAATCCGATCTCTAGAACTATGGAATACACCAACCACTCCGATTAGGAACGAATTGCCTTTGAACATAAACTGTCTAATTTCTTACAACTATTGATTTCGGATCGAGCCCAAAACTTGGGCAACATCATAATATGGTGGGAGGAGTCATCCGGTTAATTTTGAGTGAAATCCGATCTCTAGAACTATGGAATACACCAACCACTCCGATTAGGAACGAATTGCCTTTGAACATAAACTGTCTAATTTCTTACAACTATTGATTTCGGATCGAGCCCAAAACTTGGGCAACATCATAATATGGTGGGAGGAGTCATCCGGTTAATTTTGAGTGAAATCCGATCTCTAGAACTATGGAATACACCAACCACTCCGATTAGGAACGAATTGCCTTTGAACATAAACTGTCTAATTTCTTACAACTATTGATTTCGGATCGAGCCCAAAACTTGGGCAACATCATAATATGGTGGGAGGAGTCATCCGGTTAATTTTGAGTGAAATCCGATCTCTAGAACTATGGAATACACCAACCACTCCGATTAGGAACGAATTGCCTTTGAACATAAACTGTCTAATTTCTTACAACTATTGATTTCGGATCGAGCCCAAAACTTGGGCAACATCATAATATGGTGGGAGGAGTCATCCGGTTAATTTTGAGTGAAATCCGATCTCTAGAACTATGGAATACACCAACCACTCCGATTAGGAACGAATTGCCTTTGAACATAAACTGTCTAATTTCTTACAACTATTGATTTCGGATCGAGCCCAAAACTTGGGCAACATCATAATATGGTGGGAGGAGTCATCCGGTTAATTTTGAGTGAAATCCGATCTCTAGAACTATGGAATACACCAACCACTCCGATTAGGAACGAATTGCCTTTGAACATAAACTGTCTAATTTCTTACAACTATTGATTTCGGATCGAGCCCAAAACTTGGGCAACATCATAATATGGTGGGAGGAGTCATCCGGTTAATTTTGAGTGAAATCCGATCTCTAGAACTATGGAATACACCAACCACTCCGATTAGGAACGAATTGCCTTTGAACATAAACTGTCTAATTTCTTACAACTATTGATTTCGGATCGAGCCCAAAACTTGGGCAACATCATAATATGGTGGGAGGAGTCATCCGGTTAATTTTGAGTGAAATCCGATCTCTAGAACTATGGAATACACCAACCACTCCGATTAGGAACGAATTGCCTTTGAACATAAACTGTCTAATTTCTTACAACTATTGATTTCGGATCGAGCCCAAAACTTGGGCAACATCATAATATGGTGGGAGGAGTCATCCGGTTAATTTTGAGTGAAATCCGATCTCTAGAACTATGGAATACACCAACCACTCCGATTAGGAACGAATTGCCTTTGAACATAAACTGTCTAATTTCTTACAACTATTGATTTCGGATCGAGCCCAAAACTTGGGCAACATCATAATATGGTGGGAGGAGTCATTTGGTTAATTTTGAGTGAAATCCGATCTCTAGAACTACCCGATACACCAACTACCCCAATTAGGAACGAACTGCCATTGAACTTGAATTGTCCAATTTCTTTCACCTATTGATTTCGGATCAACCCCATAGTTGGGCAACAACATAATATGGTGGGAGGAGTCATCCGGTTAATTTTGAGTGAAATCCGATCTTTAGAACTATGGAATCCACCAACCACTTCAATTAGAAAGGAACTGCCTTCGAACTTGAATTGTCCAATTTCTTACAACTATTGATTTCGGATTGACCCCAAAACTTGGGCAACATAATAATATGGTTGGAGGAGTCATTTGGTTAAATTTGAGTGAAATCCGATCTCTAGAACTACCCAATACCCTAACCACCCCAATTAGGAACGAACTGCCTTTGAACTTGAATTGTCCAATTTCTTACACCTATTGATTTCGGATCGAGCCCAAAACTTGGGCAACATCATAATCTGGGGGGAGGAGTCATTTGGTTAAGTTTGAGTGAAATCCGATCTTTAGAACTACCCAAAACACCAACCACTTCATTTAGGAACGAACTGCCTTTGAACATGAATTGCCCAACTTACACCTATTGATTTCGGATCGAGCCCAAAACTTGGGCAAAGCCATAATATGGTGGGAGGAGTCATTTGGTTAAGTTTGAGAGAAATCCGATCTCTAGAACTACCCAAAACACCAACCACTCCAATTAGGAACGAACTGCCTTTGAACTTGAAATGTCCAATTTCTTACACCTATTGATTTCGGATCGAGACTAAAACTAGGGCAACATCATAATATGGTGGGAGGAGTCATTTCATTTGGTTAAGTTTGATTGAAATCCGTTCTCTAGAACTATGGCATACACCAACCACTCCGATTTGGAACGAACTGCCTTTGAACATAATTTGTCCAATTTCTTACACCTATTGATTTCGGATCGAGCCCAAAACATGGGCAACATCATAATATGAGGGGAGGTGTCATTTGGTTAGTTCTGAGTGATATCCGATCTCTAGAACTATGGAATACACCAACCACTCCGAATAGGATCGAACTGCCTTTGAACTTGAATTGTCCAATTTCTTACACCTATTGATTTCGAATCGAGCCCAAAACTTGGGCAACATCATAATATGGTGGGCGGAGTCATGTGGTTAATTTTGAGCAAAATACGATCTCTAGAACTATGGAATACACCAACCACTCCGATTAGGAACGAACTGCCTTTGAACATAAATTGTCCAATTTCTTACACCTATTGATTTCGGATCGAGCCCAAAACTTGGGCAACGTCATAATATGGTGGGAGGAGTCATTTGGTTAAGTTTGAGTGAAATCCGATCTCTAGAACTACCCAAAACACCAACCACCAAAATTAGGAACGAACTGCCTTTGAACTTGAATTGTCCAATTTATTACACCTATTGATTTCCGATTGAGCCCAAAACTTGGGCAACATCATAATATGGTGGGAGGATTCATTTGGTTAAGTTTGAGTGAAATCCGATCTCTAGAACTACCCACACTACAAGAAAAACCCCCTTTAATGACGGCTAAAAAGCGTCACTATAGCCATTAGATGACGGTTCCAAAAGCGTCAGCGACGCCAGTGTCAGGAAAGGGTACCACCATACTTGACACTTATTATCCGTCAAGCAATTGTGTTTCCTGATGGGTAAAAAGCATCACGGATTAGTGAAAAACCGTCAACAAAGGCTTTTCTTGTCGCTTAATAAGCATCAACAAATATATTTTCTGACATTTAATAAATCTTTCTTGACAGTTCTTAGCCGTCAAGAGTTGAACAACTGAAATTTAAAAATAAAAAAAGAAAAAAAGAAAAGAAAAGAGAGCTTCCTGTACGACTAAAGTTTCAAAGGATTTAATAACTAAATGAATATATTAAAAAATTGTCAAGCTGAAATTTAATATCCATTAAAGTAGAATATTTTGATACAAACATTCAAAGAAATAAACCAAGCTATCTAGTACGATAAAAAAAAACGTCACTATAGCCATTAGATTTACGACTCTGGACCACCCCTCCAAATCATACGCTGTTAGACAAGAATACCTGCAACAGATTACCAAAATAAGTTTCTAGCCAACATGTCTATTGTACCTTAAAACGAACCAGAAGCTCTAACCCAAATTTTTGAATCTCAGTGGCATTTGGCCTCTACCATAACTGTAACTAATTGGGAATTTAGAAGGTAATTCAATAATCTAACATTGAAAATAGAGTGAGCAACTAGATTACAAAACAAGAAAAACAAGTACTGAAACAAAATGCATTATATTAGCATGGAAAGTGAGATATGACAGCAGTATCAACAGGCTAATAAATTTTTTTCTTTTCATGGTCCAACAACTTCGATTGAATTCAATTAAATAGAGATAATTTCCAAACCTTGTCTGCAAATTCTTGGTCCAAATAGAAGCTTCATTCAATAATGTGTTTCATGGCAAGTTTGTGTGCTCTACAAGAAAATATTAAAAACAAACTTTTCAGAGGCTCACTTATGTTGGTAAGACATGTCACAATTTGATTCCACACAAATACTCTAGTTAGGTTTTAATAATTTTAATCGAAACTAGAAATTATATGCAAACTGCACTGATCTTTTAAAATAAATACCAAAATTATTAGAATTTTATCTTAAGTCTGCACCAGTCACTTTAATTTTTGTGGAAAACCAAATTTTGTGAATAGAATGAACCAAAAGTTCATGTTTAGCATCAACAACAATATGCTGCAATGAAACAGTGAATAAAAGATATAACAGAGATGATAGCTGATAATCTCTAACTGCAACACATATACTAAATATGTTTAAAGGACATTGATAATGGTTCATGTATCTATATTATTGCCAGCATTTGCATTTCTTAAATTCTCGAATCCCATTTCCCTTTTCATTCAAACTCTTGAGAAAGCAATAGCAGACAGTACTTAAGAGCAAAAAGATATATAAGATTATATATATGTATATCATGGTTATTTAAGATTAAGGAAGGTTATGAGAAAGATACTATAACCTGTTAGATTGTCACAGTGGCGACGAAGATTCCAGAGAAGATCGAGCCCGGCTAGTGATGAGGAAGAGCGATAGTGCCGATGGAGAGAGGAATCATCGAGCAAGCGTGCAGGAGACAAGAATGGAATAGCAAGAGAGAAGAGGGAGCTAGTGGGGAAAGAGACTCGGTGTGTTTGATTTCATTTTGGGTTTGGTGAAGCGCTGGCGTTGCAGAGATGGATGAGTTAGAAGCTGGCGTTGCAGAGATGAAGAAGAGAGGAGAGAGAGATCAAGATAAACCTAGGGGGGTTGTATTTCAAATTTCAGAACTTTTTCCTCTTTGATTGTATTTCCAATTTCAGACTTGAAGCAACAGTGGAAACCTAAGGCTTGTGATTTTGGGTTTTGGAGCGAAATATTGTTTTGGTGAAATTTTGGAGCGAAATATTGCAAACCACAGTATCGCCTTTTTTTTTTTAAAGCGTCAAGTATAACGAGATCTCTTTGACGGTTTTTAATAAGTGTCAAGTATAAGGGGCTTTAATTGACATTTTTTATAAAACGTCACAAAATACCAGTATATAGTTGACATTTATTAAAAAGTGTCAAGTATTAGTAGAATAGTTGATAGTTTTTCAACAAACGTCAACTATGAAGTGCCAACTAAAGCATATTTTCTTGTAGTGCCAAAACTCCAACCACTCCAATTAGGAACTAACTTCCTTTGAACCTGAATTGTCCATTTTCTTACACCTATAGATTTCGGATCGAGCCCAAAACTTGGGCAACATCATAACATGGTGGGAGGTGTCATTTGGTTAGTTTCGAGTGAAATCGGATTTCCAGAACTACCCAAAACACCAACCACTCCAATTAGAAACGAACTGCCTTTGAACTTGAATTGTCCAATTTCTTACACTTATTGATTTCGGATCGAGCCCAAAACTTGGGCAACATCATAATATGGTGGGAGGAGTCATTTGGTTAAGTTTGAGAGAAATCCCATCTCAAGAACTACCCAAAACACCAACCACTCCAATTAGGAACGAATTGCCTTTCAACTTCAATTGTCCAATTTCTTACACCTATTGATTTCGGATCGAGCCCAAAACTTGGGCAACATCATAATATGGTGGGAGGAGTCATTTGGTTAAGTTTGAGAGAAATCCCATCTCAAGAACTACCCAAAACACCAACCACTCCAATTAGGAACGAATTGCCTTTCAACTTCAATTGTCCAATTTCTTACACCTATTGATTTCGGATCGAGCCCAAAACTTGGGCAACATCATAATATGGTGGGAGGATTCATTTGGTTAAGTTTGAGTGAAATCCGATCTCTAGAACTACCCAAAACACCAACCACTCCAATTAGGAACGAATTGCCTTTCAACTTCAATTGTCCAATTTCTTACACCTATTGATTTCCGATCGAGCCCAAAACTTGGGCAACATCATAATATGGTGGGAGGATTCATTTGGTTAAGTTTGAGTGAAATCCGATCTCTAGAAC